CCTTTTCTTTAAATTTTGATATACCGTTTGTATCAGCTAATAGAGGCAAATTCAATTGAATTCACAAGACTACCCAGAAAGGATGAGACCTTTAAATCGCCATAACTGAATTTTTATAGCCTCCATTAAAGTCTCATTTTTGTGGGTATAACTGTATGTAAATATTGCTAACATAAATCATGAGCTTGTGTAGTTAGGCTGCCAGAGGAGCCAGAGGCGACATCTTTTCTTTCATTGCATACCCTTGTGTCTTAGATTTTAGGTTGCTATATTCGAATACCTAAATAATTTACGCCCCCCCCCCCCTCCGCTTTAAAACATATTTTCATCCACGACCCTATAAGGAAAGAAGGCAATCTAAATGCAGCAAGTTAGGTCCGATCAGTTTTATTATTAATAGGTTTATATCTATAGGTTAATAATGATATGACTAATATAAAGGTTGGGTACAATGAATCTTATCTTCTATGAAAGTAATAACGTAGTTTCTATTACTGTTCTTTTCTTTTAAAAATGTGTATGAAAAATGTTTGATAAACCAATATCCAGGGTTACCATCAAAGAATGATTGAAACTTTAATTGGCGACCAAAGCCTAAAAATGATGTCTTTACGGTCAAATTGGGTTAAATTGAATATGACTTGACTGAGAGAGAAACTGGTGAACAGCTGAAAAGCCAGAAGGAAATAAAATGGAAAAAAAGAATTAATCTATTTTGTATAGTTTATCTCTGAAGTCTAATACTTTGTGAATAACCTTCCTCCTGAAAATGGCAGCAAGTTCATCTTTGCACTTTCTCAGTCTTTAATTTTAATTTTTAATCTATAATTATAAAAACATTGACAGAGCGAGTAAAAAAAAAGGATTATCGATATTTTGAACAAAATTTTCAAAACTAATATTTTGTTTAAATCTTAGGCATAAATAAATAAAATGTGATAAAAAATCCCCAAAAAAATCCACTAACCCAATTTTTTTCAAAATTACAATTTTTTGAAAAATAGTTGTGAAAATGTTTATTTTATTGTTTTCCAAAATTTCACGAAAATTCATAAAGAATTGAATGAGATATAACAAAAACTCTGCAAAACAATTAGAGTGGAAATCTGAAGTAAATGTTATCAAATTATAACCCTAGATCTGTTATGAAAATGCAAATAATAGACTTACATTTTTTTTTGTTATATCTTGTTCAATTTTTGATAAGTTTTTTTTATGAAATTTTGGAAAACAATAGAATAAACATTTTTTCAACAATTTTTTAAAAATTTTTATTTTTTCTAAAAAAAAGTTGGTTGCGCGGATTTTTTTTTCTATGCTCCAATAATATTTTTTAATTTTGTTTATCACATTTTATTTTATTTATGCCTAAAATCCTAACAAAATAAAAATTTTGAAATTTTGTCCAAAACATCGATAATCCCTGTTTTTTTACTCACCCTGTATACTGCGCAATTATTAGTCACTTCAACTTGTTTAAAACTTGTTCTTTTTCGACAAATTGGAAATTTTCTAGATCCATGTATCCGGTATATATTAACATGTTGTTGATCTTTATAATTCAGTTGACTTAATTCATTCAAGAATTAATATGTTTTACAATTGAATTAGCCCATGCAGCGTAACCTTTCGTCGGTCCAGAACGCAACCCGTTGGACAGTTATAATATTTTTTTTTATAGTTTGTCAATCTTGTTTATAAAACAGACCCGGCCACGGAATATAGGTTTATTTATTATATTATCCGTGTAATTGCATCGCTTAGATTCACCGTTTCAACAGACCCGGCCACGGAATATAGGTTTATTTATTATATTATCCGTGTAATTGCATCGCTTAGATTCACCGTTTCAACAGACCCGGCCACGGAATATATGTTTATTTATTATATTATCCGTGTAATTGCATCGCTTAGATTCACCGTTTCAAAGCGGGGGATTTCAACCAACATTTAGAGAAATGTTATGAAAGTAAAAAGGAAATTATTGATGAGTAACAATGGTGGGTTTTGGGCTTTTCCTACTTAGATTGACCGATTGGACACAATTGTGTTGCGCATTGGGCAAAACAAACACAACTAAATGCTACAGTAAAAATTAACATTCTAAATTGTCGTTATTTTTATGATACAAATAAAACCTACTAATCTTTTGCACAAATATAAGGTTTCCATGCTTAATGTTCCTATTTCTTAAAGTTCATGTAAATATCAAAATAAATCTCGATATAAACATCAAAATAAATCTCAATATAAATATCAAAATTCGTTTGACTTTTATTCCGTCGGAATGAATAGTAAGTATACAATCCTGATTTCTTCGTAATTCATGTTATTTTAAATTCTTTTTTTTGACGTCGTGAAGCTTTCTGATATATTCTATAAAGCTTACGGTAAATTTCTAAAAGTCTATGTAGTCAAATTTTCAAATTAGGGTACACCAATGCGACACTTAACGTTTAAATAAGCAGAGAATCTGTCGATTGTTTTATATTAAGGTTTTCATCGGTTCAGTTAACTTTTCTTCAATTAAAATGTTGAATTCATCCTTATCCTATCTTACAATGATCAAATTTTTACCTTTTTTGCTGAAAATTCTAAAAAAAACCTAATTTGGGTTTAGCAATATCGAATCGTTTTAAAATAAATATATTCAGAGTTAAAGTTAAAAAAAAATAAAATGGCAATGAACAACAATATCGATTACAAAATTGAATTTTATCGTACTCATTGACATTTAAAAATATAAGGATGTTCAAAACTTCTTATTTACTTTGAATATGTAAAAATGGAAATTACATTGTCCCGAAAATCGAGGAATATATAGCTTGAATAAATTATAAATAAAATGTGCGACACCCTACTTTAAATAGTTGTTATAACGCTATTGTTGCAGACTAGTTTTCTCCGGTTCAATAGTTCTCTCTCGCTCTCTCTGTATCTCTCATCTTTTGTTAAAAACGTAGAGAGCGACTTCTAGGCTCTATATGGAACCTCATTCAATTTTATCCGCTCAGTTTAAACACAACTCCGGAAGTAAAAACACCTAAAACAGCGACGGCGCAACCCCGGGGCTTCGCCTCATTATTTTTCGGGGAATTACAAATAAATTTTACTTTTTGATTTGTTATAGAATAGATTACACGTTTTTTTAGAAAAGAAGATTTTTTCATCCATTTCAGATAAATATTGAAAAATCAACGATCATTTAACATTATCTAAACATTTCAGAAAAATAATCCCCCTCGGCCCCCCTTAGAATTCCAACAAAAAAAAACTAACTAAAGCCTGGAAATTTTATTTATAATAAATCTCAAATTGGTTCATTAGAAAATTCTTATCAAAAATATATTAATTAATTATATTCAGTTAAGAATTTTGTATTCTTTAGTATTTGCCAGATATTAAGAATTCCACCTCTCTAGTTCATTACGCCCTCAAAACCTTTAATTGTGAATGGCATTTTTTTGCACTCTGGGCTTATTTTTCTTGAAAATTCATTTCACACACAAAATAGCATATTTAATAAAAAATGGTGTGGTAATATTTTTACATTTTTCATTTATAATACAAAGACGAAAGAGAAAATATATCGATACATATACATATATATATGTATATATCAGTTGAAACGCAACAATCTTCTTATAACATTTTATTCATAAACAAATTGTTTCATGCTTTTATGCAATCATCAATATGAATAGATGTATATATTTTTAATGGTATATTAGATAGTTCTTTTTCTAACAGAAGTACCCATATGCAAGTTTGAGACTTAAATGACGATTTGAAACTCTTTAAATATATAGTTTTTGAAGATGCGTGATATGGTCTGGAAAATATAGGATAAAGTCTTAATAATTTCCCCTCGGTCTGCTTTCTCTAAAGCCTCATACTTTGTGCGTAACCCTGTGTTTTAAAGAAGAAAAAATGTTTGATTTTATTTGATTAAGCAATCATGGAAAATAGAGCCACTGCTTAACAAAGAGTTTATCAAGTGTAATTAGAAATCGTTTAAATTGAGCTTGTTAAATTGTTAAGCCTGTCAGTGAAATGTAATCTATCGATTCTTTACGCCACACTTGTAGAATGTTCCATTGATCCACAAATAATCTATCATTTAAAAATGTAAAATTTAGTAATTTTTGTAGAATTTCTTATTTTTATGAAAAACACCAAAGAAAAAAACGCAAACAAATGTTTAGTTAAAGATTTTTAATATCTTTTATTCTAAAAAAATATTGTATTTTTAAACAGAAGTTAAAAATTTCTAACTTCTCAGGTCAGACTGAGAATTAATTTCAATTTTGATGATTCCGTCACACATCTCAAATATCAATTCAATTCTTAAAAGCTTAAAACTTAAAAACCTTTTAAATTATTTTTGAAAAGATTAACGTTCGTGCTATTGATATAGAAAGAAAATACATTTTACATTATAAAAATAGATTATCTTCTTATCTTTGACAACCTAACTTTTTCTCGTATAATTCTAACACATTTTATTAAAAAATATTATTGAAAAATATACTCTCAAGTACATCGAGTGTTTTGTATTTATATGTCAAAACTAATAAAACATATAATAATATAATATTTTATTGATTTTAATAATAAGTGCATCTTGGTGAAACACATTTCTGTTAATAAAAAAATATATTTACTATAATTTATCAGAATTATAGTACAAACGTCAAACTTAAAACGTCGGATCGAGGTACCAACGTCGAACGTACGCTCGTTAGGCAAATTAAAAAAGGGTGGAAAAAGAACAGTTTTTATTGATATTACAAAAGTTCAGCTTTATTGTTTGAAAACTGTGTTCCGAAAAGAATTTTCTTTAACATTTTCATTTTTATTTGTTACCGAATTTTTTTGACTTTCCGAAGTTGACAATAGTTCGACGTTTAAGCTGTCATACTATTGTACAGTATAAACTTAGAATTTTTTTGAAATATTTATTTGTATTTTTAATTGTATAACCTCTTTTGTATTTTCAGATCTTATCGATAAAATGGCCACCTGGGGATACGGGAAAGATAATGGTAGTTAATTTTTTAAAATCTAAATACGTATTTTATTTTTGCTTTTTTACAATTTTTTTAAAACTTCTTTTTTGTTATAAGCATGTTAGCTCAACCTTATATCGAATTGTTCATTGTAGACTTGGAAGAAGAAAATCATCTCGTTATTTCAGCAAATCATGATATCCTTTGAGCAATGATAATTGTACTTTTTGTAATGATTTCCAAGCAATTTTTTATTTTAGATGAATTTGCAAACTCGTACAAGTATCGATATTCTGTATCACAGTACTATGTCTTATGTCTATAAAATAGTCTTGGATTCTGTCTTTCATATTTTTTCTGTATTCTATGTCAGCAAATATACCAATATGCAGTGTAGTTTATTGAAATCGGGATATAATTCAATTTCAATGCCTTATAATTAATTAGTATATACACCGAAAACTCTTTATTGTAGCCATTCAGTACCAGATACAGTATTGAAATATATATCAGTGTCTTTATTATTTCACCTGTAAACGATTGTGTATTAATTTATATGCTGACCAGGGTATTATATAACCTGTTCCGTTGATGTATCATCTGTGTTTGATTCGTTCCTTGTTAAATCCTGTGTCATGTATTCCATGGTTTGTGTATCCTTAAAGGGAGTGACCGGCTATGTAAGGTAGTTGAACTGAGTATGCAGTGTTGTGGAAAATTTCTTTTGAGACATATTAAACTTTTTAAAGATCTGTAAATCCTGAGTTTAAGCTCAATTTCGAAGTTCAAAACTCCTACTTTGGGAGTGCATACGTTTTCAGAATAGGATTTTTTTGAATAATCAAATAACGACGACATAAAATGTAAAAAAATCTACAATAAACTACAAACTTATGCATAGGAACATGTTGAGAAAATAAAAAATTAATCTCATCATCGCGAATAAGTAATCTTGTTCAATTATTAGGTTCTATTTTCTCATTATTCTGGTTTCTCATTATTCACAAAGATTTTCTCAGATTTTCTAGAATTATTATTGAAAAGACGACATTGGAAGAATTCGTAGAAATCTGCGAATCAATTTAAAGAAGATAAGAAATTCAATATAATCAGAAAAAGAAATAATCGATTTTAGCATTGATTTATTGACAAACTTCTTTTGAGAAATATGTTCCATCTAACTACACTACTGTATAATTTTTACTTTATTTTTCGTTGTCGTTATTTAATAATTAAAAAAAAAGTAGGAGTTTTGAACGTCGAATTTGCGCTCAAACTCAGGATTTACAGATTTTTAAAAAGTTTAATATGTCTCAAATGAATCCGAAAGAAGTTTTTCACAACACTGAATACTCAGTTCAACTACCTTAGATAGCCGGTCACTCCCTTTAACACTGGACCTAAAAACAAGTATTGTGTGTCCTGTATCCTTTACCCTGTATTCCATATAGGTCCTGACACCTGGGGAAAATGGTATCCAGTCTGTGATGAAGGGAAAAGGCAGAGTCCTATAGATCTTGTCCCGGAAACGTGTAGCGAGGATCCAACCCTACCTGCTCTGGTAGCAAAGTTCAGCAGGCTACCTCAACTCTCATTAGAAAATACAGGGATGAGCTGGAAGGTAGGAAGAGAAAAAAAATGAATTTATAAAGACCATACATTTTAAGAACTATTTTAATGCTGAATAGTTTTTACTCATTTTCTTTAATACCTATACAATGGTGAACTATATTTTTTAAGTACTATACGAGTGAGTTATATAGGTGAAGTATATACTATGTACTGTATGGGTGAAGTATATACTAAGTATTGTGCAGGTGAAGTATAGGTAAACTATATACTACGTATGTACTGTTCAGGTGAACTATTTACTATGTACTGTACAGATGCGCTTTATACTAAGTACTGTACAGATGAACTATGTATACCAAGGACTTTGTGCAGGTTAACTATATGCTATGTACTGTACAAAGGTGAACTAATATTTTGCACTGTACAGGTGATCTATATACTATACTATGTGCTGTATAGGTGATCTATTTACTATGTGCTGTATAGGTGATCTATTTACTATGTGCTGTATAGGTGAGCTATATACTTAGTATTGTTCAAGTGAACTAGTTACCAAGTCTTGTACAAGTGAACTATATATTATGTACTGTACAGATGAACTATCATCTATGTATTAGGTACTTTACAGGTGAACTATACTATGTACTATATATGTGAACTGTATACTTTTTATTCTACAGGGGAACTATGTACTAAGTACTGTACAGGTGAACTATATACTTTGTAATGTATACAGGTGCACAATATACTAGGTACTATACAGGTAAACTGTATACTATAGGTACTTAATCAGGTGAATTATATACTATGTACTGTATTGGTGAATTTTATACTATGTACTGAACAGGTGAACTATATATTATGTACTGTACAGGTGAACTATGTACCGGATGAGAGTAGTTTGACCGGTGGACCTCTAGGGAATGAGTACAAGCTTGTACAGATGCATGCACACTGGGGTAAAGTGGAGGGACGAGGGAGTGAGCATACTATTAATGGCAAGTAAGTATAATATCTTATTTTTCTTATTATTTTTTTTTCTTATTATTTTTATTTATTATCACGCCGAATATAGAGTATAGGACATTTCATTTATCTATATATATAAATTAGTAATCTCTGTTTGTCTGTCAGTTTGTTTGTCCGATCATAACTTATAAACCCCTGAACCAGTTTGTCTCAAATTTGGATTGGGGAATTCGAGAGAACCTCGGGAATGTTCTTAGCTTTCTTTTTATATTCTGAATTGTATGGGTCGACTTTAATCTGGGAAAATAACTAAAAGCACAAATTACGACCAATTGCTGGTAGTAAGTATGAGTAACCGGGGTAGCTTTTTCAATATTAAAGTATATATATTGAAATAAATTAGTAAGATTTGCTAAAATCAACAAATTAATGTCTTATCGTAAACAACAACAAAAAATCGAGGTTGCAGTGTGTATCATGAATTGTGTTTTTAGATTGGGGTGTTCGAATCAGAAAGAAATAGCAACAAAATATCAAGTGTGTGTATCAATCAATGTCTTAAAAGAGGAATATCAGTTTCCGAAATGAGAATATTGAAGTGTGTGTTTAATTTTTCTGTCAGAAAGGATATTGAGATTGGTCTGTGTACCAAATCAAAAATATGATAAAATATCAAGTGTGTGTATCAATCAATGCCTTAAAAGAGGGATATGAGTTTCCGAAATGAGAATATTGAAGCTATAAGTTTATCATCAGATTGATTATGATATCTTATGTTGCCTATTTTGACTCATTCTGTGTGGGTAACATCGTTGAAGTAAATGTTTCAAAGATGAGTCTAGAAACAGATACTTTTGTTTATTTTAGTACGAAAGAAACTGTCCGCTGAATAAATTAAAATAGATTAAATATTCACCTTATGGATGACCAAACACACAAATGATAGATATTCTCTCACACACATATTTACATTTGAAACGTGAAAAGTCTATTCAAGTTTTTTTTATCCACGTTAGAAAGGCATCATTATTTTTACTATTTAGTTTCTATTTTCATTAGTGAAAATTTAATATTGTTTTGATATTTGACATTTTTTAAACCTGATGTTATCGAGCTTGATATTTTACACAGAGTTAAGATACATCAAACAATCAAAGTGTGAAATGATAAAGGTTTATACCATCGGTTTCAAAGATATAGCGATTAAAAAGTAAGCATTTGAGACAAGCAGTTAGTTCCTTTTAATGTAGAATGTTTGATGGCGAACTCCATCTTGTCCACTACAACACTGGATACGGATCCTTTGAAGAAGCTGCAGATAAACCTGATGGTCTTGCTGTCCTGGGGATTTTCTTACAGGTAGATCAGATCAGAGCTGAGCTGAAAACTTTAGAATGGATATCCTTAATCCCGATCAGTTAATTAATCTGGAGATTAATAACAAGAGGAGAACATGCATTATTTAATCTTGAGATTAAGAAAAAGAGTGAATCAAGCATAATCCCGATATCCACCATTTAAAAGTTCCCAGCTCAGATCATATTTGTAATTAATGATAAAACATCTTAACACTGGAAACCTAGGACTAAACGGGAGGTTTCATTTATTTAATCCCGGGATAAAAAAAAACTAAAATTAATTCAAGCTGTCCATTCATAAATTTTCTGCTCATGACATGAACGTATCAGAAGCTTATGTGTAGTGTGTAAATATTTCATTAATATCGTAAAAAAAGCTAAAACGTATTAGCGATTATATCATTTGAATAATTACAGATTTCAAAATTTCAAGAATTGAATGATTACAGGTTCCTCTCTGTTAAGGTTGGAGAAAACTCTCATCCTGAGTTTGAGAAGATAACAAGCATGTTGGGAGATATTAAACTTAAAGGAGATTTGGTAGAACTAGCGGAGGAGTTGGATCCAGCTGGGCTTTTACCAGGTTCATATAGGTTTATAGATAACTAGCTTAAGTACCGCGGAGTTGCCTGTGGGGAAAAATTTAAATTTTAGAAATAAAAATTTCGATTTTTGAAAAAAAAATTGTTTAGCCTTTGTTACTCCCCTATCACCCATGGGTTCCCTCAAAAAATGTCAACCCATTCGGTCCAGCCGTTTTGCCAGCTATAGCTGACATATAAATGTATGAGTAAAGAGCTTTATTATGTAAATATATTCAGGAGGAAGTATAGTAAACAAGGCTCTCGGAAGCTGGGAAGTAATACTTAAAGCTAGAATCAGAATGAATTGTCAGTTTTCCGTTAAAATTGATTGCAGATGGAAGTTGTAAAGGAATTGAGTCTTTGTCACAAACTCTGAATTTATAATCTCTATGTCTTTGGAACCCAATGTCGTACATCTTTGATATTTCAAACTTATATCATTTGATCTAACAGAATTCATAGTTTGAAATATCTAAGGTCTACGAAAATGGAATCCAAAGATAAACGGTTTAGAAAAGTAGAGTTTGTGGCAAAGACTCAATTCCTTTTGTAAAGATTGATATCCTGTCAGTAGTATGTACACAGGTGGATTGTCAGGAAGTACTGGGTTTATCAAATTAAATAGTTAGGAAGAATTGTGGGTACATAAAGGTTGGTAGTAAAATAGAAGTGGGTACATAAAGGTTGGTAGTAAAATAGAAGTGGGTACATAAAGGTTGGTAGTAAAATAGTAGTGGGAATTGATGGTGAGGAAGTCTTGTTGGTACATGAAGATTGATAGTTATGGCAAGAAGTGTGAAGTGGGTTGTAAGTTAACAGATTATATAAGACCTTAATATTATTAGTGGAAAGTGAATGTTACTACACCTACCCTGGCTCCTTGACAACACCTCCACTTCTTGAGTCTGTAACCTGGCTTGTATACAGCACACCCATCTGTATTTCCAAGACTCAGGTTTAGATCATTAATCATATTCATATATATGTGCGTGTGTAGGCAATGCGTAGAATAATTTTAGTCTTTATTGCGTAGTTTCTATTTAGTGTTTACACTGGAGCACAATTCAGCCATGCTTTATCCGTTGTATAGTATTTACAGTTTATAGTTTAATTACCATGAACTGAACCTTATGTAATCGGTCATCTAACTACAAACTATCAGTTAATCTAATTTATCAATGTAATCAATGTCGTCAACCTAGTCATCTTGTAAGCTAGGCCTTCAATTTTCTTGTTGCTTGTTCCTTTGGTTACCCCCATATCCCCAGTCCTATTGTTACAGTTTCAAAAACATATTAAGACGCATAATACAATATTATAATTGTTTTTAATATATAAATAAAAACTGTCAAAATAAAATAAAATTTCAGAATTGTTAAAATAAGTTAATATATATATATTTTAAAGCCTGTTCTTGTTATTTAAAATATTTCAAACAAGTTTTGCTACAATGAATGGATTTTTTCTCATCTGACGAGGATGGATTTTAAAAATTATACATTTCAGGTCTTTATCTTTAGTGCCACTGCCAAGACATTATTTGTATACGTCTCCGCTTGGTTTGAACATATATAGTCGTGTTTTTTTAGAAGTCATATACATTACTTAACATTTTCTTCATTAATACATTATTCTGATACATTGGTGACCAAAATGACGCAAAACCCCCCCAAAAATTGAAGCAGTACTTCACACAAGCACACCCATCGTAAACACACAATGATTTTCATTTTTCTGTGTCATCTTATGCATAAACATCTTCCCATCTCTGCATTAATACTTCCAAAAACAGATTTTCTTCTGACATTCTATCTTTTAAACATTTTACTATCAAAGTCTAATATTTCAAAATATTACTTAGTATAAAGAAAACCTGTCGTTTCACCCTTTTAAAACATATTTGAATAATATTTGTATGTTGTTGCTTGAATGTTGTTTTGTAAATAGATGTTGAGCATGCGTAGCCTGAAGAACGTAGAGAATGATGATGGACAGGAGGATGAGGAGGGGTGTACCTGTGTACAGGATAACTACCGACCAGTTTGCTGCAGAGGAGAAAGAGTTGTCAGGATGATAAAACTATAATAAGAAGGTATTGAGCAGATCTCAAGGGGGTTTGTTTTAATATAATGCAAAAGTGATTCAGCAACAATTGCAAAGAATAATCAAAAATGTCGACTCATCCTTGAAGATTAATTGTCACACTGGAAAAAGGTTTGTGGTGCTACCACTGTAAAGAGTTTATAAAAGGTTTGTGGTGCTACCTCTCTATAGAGTATATAAAAGGTTTGTGGTGCTACCACTGTAAAGAGTATATAAAAGGTTTGTGGTGCTACCACTGTAAAGAGTATATAAAAGGTTTGTGGTGCTACCACTGTAAAGAGTATATAAAAGGTTTGTGGTGCTACCACTGTAAAGAGTATATAAAAGGTTTGTGGTGCTACCACTGTAAAGAGTATATAAAAGGTTTGTGGTGCTACCACTGTAAAGAGTATATAAAAGGTTTGTGGTGATACCACTGTAAAGAGTATATCGCTAGTTTCTACATTTTGTTACTAAAAGGATGAAATAATGCAATGAAATATAATACACACTTTTCTCTGAATAATGCAGCTCACATTTTAAAAATTCCAAGGAAGATGTGTTGACTGTTTTTTATATTAAAACAAAGTAGGCTCCGATGCTTCATGGGAATCCTTGTATTATGTGTATATTGTAGTATAAATATATCCTTGTATTATGTGTATATTGTAGTATAAATGTATCCTGACAGGTTCTTATCAATTTTTCATTGAGGTCTTCAATATCAATCCGGTTTCAAGTTTTAAATCATGAAATAATAAATATTCTATAGCGTTTTAATGTTTAAGCATGATCTTATTACATTAATCATGGATCGGACGATGTCTTGATTTTAAAGGCCTGATTCTTTATAATATCCTTTACTGTATTAATATAACCACTAGGGTTATGATATTATTTGAAATTATTTTCGCAAGAAAGGATTTAGTGAACTTGAAATGGAATTGTTTAATGTTAAGTTGTTTATAATCCCTATGACTTTGCAACCTAAAGTCGTAGACCTTCAATATTTACTGCTAAGAATTTTATTAGTTCAAATATTAAAGGTATACGCACCATCAGGTTGCAAAGATTTAGGAATTAGAGTTTTTGGCAAGAACTCAGCTCCTTGCTATCAATAGATAAACCTTTCAGGAAGGAATTGAGTTTTTGTCACAAACTCAAATTTTGTAATTCCTATATCTTTGCAACCTGATGATGTAAACCTTTAATATTTTAAACTTAGACTATGTGATCTAACAGATTTCATAGTTTGAAATATCTAAGGTCTACGACATCGGGTTCCAGAGATATAGTGATTACAAAATTAGAGTTTGCGACAAAAACTTATTCCTTAGCACGTTAGACTTCTTAAGACTTTTTAATTTCAAATGGTAAGCAATGCATTCTTTAAAAGGAATAGTTTTAGGATTTTTTCTTACTACTAGAGAATCTCATTTAATTTTACCATTTACGACCGCTTACAGGCTAGTTAGTTTGAGCTAAGAAATGTTTTATTTACTTTCTGTGAAATTTCTTTCATCATTTGCTTATACAGACTATAGCTTATATATCTCTATTAGACAATAGCTTATATAGCTCTATGTAGGTTGTTTAAGATCTAGCTTATATAGCTCTATATAGGTTGTTTAAGATCTACAAGGCTATAGCTTATATAGCTCTATGTAAGTTGTTTAAGATCTATACAGGTTTCAAGTTTCAGTCTCATTTACATCACTCATAAACAAACCCAGGAGTAAACAGACTTGTTTATATACTTTCAACTTTCAAGTTTATTCGTCAAAAACAAGATGATGAAGTCATTTAATATCTTTACACAACACAGCTTTTTTCTTGTTATCTCTGTATATATATATGTGTATATATATTTTTAAATTCAATTTCAGCTAGTATTTAAACATCTATAAATAAATTTGGCTTGTCTGTCTGTTTGTTTGTCTGTCGTCAAAACGGCTGAACCGATCGGGCCCAAATTTTTTGTGGGACATCACGTGACCACAGGGAAGGTTTATGAATGATCAAAATTTCAAATATTTGTCTCCATCAAAATTCGATCTTGATTAAATTTTGAAAATTTTGAAAATCCACGACATTTTTTGTGAAAATCCGCTAATTATTTTTGTTTTGTTTTACGATGTACACAAAGAGAACATGTTCACAATTAATTTAGGAGATGGGCGCGAAGCGCCTTCTAAGGCTAGTATATCATATTCCTTTAAGTTTGGTTTGGTAATTGATCTGATGCTTTAATTACGGAAATAATCTTATTTTACTTTTTGATAACATGCATTTTTTTAGAATTTTTCCTAAAGTGTTTCTTAATGATTTTAAGATAATTTACAAAGTTCGTTTTCTAATTATATTTAACAAAAAGTGTTTTTTTTGCAAAAATTTTGAAAATATTTGTTATGATATAAGAAATCGATTGCATATCTTTATGAATTATAAAAGAAATATATGTTATAAGTATTGTATAGTAGATATAACACATCCACGCCTGAACCAAATACACCTAGAATTTCACGTGTTAGAAAGATATTTTGTTACTGATTCAAAATTACGCTTATTTTTTTATAGCATTTTAATGAAAAAGTTGAATTTAGCATACTTTGAATGTTGTAGCAATTTTTGTAAATAAACAATGGTAACCTTTTGCAATTTCTCGATTTTTCTTTTGATTTTTCATAACTATTTTTTAATACGTTTTCTGACCTGATCTTCTTTATGTAATTTTTAGCTTTGGTTTGATTATTTTTCAATGTATTTTTAATATCTTTTAATTCTAATTTTCAACATATTCTTTATTGATATTCTGTTGCTCCTCTTTGTTCTCAATCTTAAAAAAACTTTTCTTTTTAATTCTTTTTTATCCCATCCTTTTCAATTTTTCTTTTTTATTTTCATCTTTTTTCTCTATTCTTACAATCTACGTTTCTGTTGTTTCTTTTTTTCTTTATGTTTAATTCTTACTTGCAAAATATTTGAAATTTTTGTTCTAGATGTACTGCATGAGAAGCCTGTACACCTGTAAACCTGGTGTACATATACTAGACAACTACCGTCCTCCCTGTCCTCTTCGGTCCAGATTAGTTCGTCGTGCTCCATCCTATCCCAGACAAATCTATCCTTGGAGATATCTTCTTCTAGTTGGAATATTCTTATTCATAACCTGCATTTTACTAACCGGTGGAATTCTTTTTGTATCTTTATGATTTTTTAGAGAACGACACTCACATATTTTTCTACACGATCACGATTTTTTCTATGCATTTAGAATTTTATATATTATGATACAACAATTTTTTTGTAAAAGTTGATGAATTTTTGTATGTTACAGTTTCTTACTTTCACAATTATGATTTTTCTGATTTTTCAACCATTATCGTTTTTTTAAAACTTGCATTTTACTCCAAAGTGATGATAAAGTAGTATGATTAAAAGTTTTATAAACGTTGGATTGCAGTTTGAATAATATCCAAAAATCTGAAGTTGAGCCTTGGGATACATTTTGTTTATTCCAAACGCTCAATTTATAGATTTATTATTTTTTTTGTGTAAAATTTGTCACTTTTAATTGGTTTCCTTGTATTTTAATAATTCCTTTGATCAAAACCATTTATGCACTAATCATACATATTTATATTTATATATTCAAGATGTAACCACACATATTTGTTTGATTTCTTATCAACCTTTGATAATGTTTGACCATATCAACTATCCATTTATTGGCAAATGTTATTTGTTATTGTGGTTTTTATTTTTAAATATAGATATATAAAGCTATAATTTTTCGCATTTCTGTTAGTATATCCTAATTAGAGAAGCAAAGTTAGGTATATCTCTATTAGGGTTTCCAGCAAAAAGGAAAAATCGTTTCGCGAAAATTTCGCATTTTTCGCGATCATTTCGCTAAATTTTGAGATTACAAGGCTCATTTTCAAAGAGGGATTTATCCGCGAGCACAAAATAAAATTTACTATAGGAAGAACCAAAATAATTCGGAAACTTAAAAAGTTAGCTATTCTTCAAATATTGAGCTATCAGAGCAGAGAATTCCACAAGTTCTTTTGAGCAATTAATTTTTGCAGCTATAAAACTCATGGTTTTCACAGGAACTGATCTATGTTGATAAGAATTAACTTTACGAAAGCTTATTTTTTATTATTTACAGACCCAAAAGCGACGCACGCGGACATTAAGATCATATGACTGAACGAAGACGACATATTAACCACCTTCACATTGATGTTCACTTAATTTCTCTTCGTTTCTTTAGCAATCCGTTTTATTTCTGAAAGAATATCGGGTGTATTGTATTACGCTTAAACTAGTGGTTCTATGATGATTGCAGTACATGTTCGATATTTACAGTGACAGAATAAAAATTGCTTTTGTCTGAAAAAGTTGTTTCATTTTTGGCCATAATTCGAAATGTGAGCTGGATAAATGGCAGGAAACAAAAAAAGAAAAAAGAAACAACGTGCATGAAAAAATCAGAACGGAAATTATCCACCTCAATACAGGGTCAATCTGTACTGTACAATCTGTACATAGTTAAAGATTCGACCTATGGCAGCGCGACTAAGTTACTCAGCTTACAGTTGTTGATTACTTCAATTGGATCTGAAAGCAGCTGTAACTTTAAATGTGCACGACTGTTAGACTTATAGGTATTTATTTTATATGTAACCCAATGAATATAAAACCCTGCAATTTTGAGTGATCAGTGTGTGAACAATGTACGCAGACACATAACACTCATAACACTTTAAAGTTAAGTTAAAGCTACTAGTAAAACTATTTGCTTTTTTAACATCAAATACACATAAGATACCTTGGTTATCGTCTTCTTATCCCACGGTTTTTTCGAGTCTTCCTGTATATTTGGATTGTCTGGATCCGATAAACGTAAAAACGGATTAAGCGATTGAATTCTTATTTGTGGTTTAGAACTACAAACTGTCACTTCTAACTTCAGGGGAATGTCCCCCTAGAAGCTGCACATTCTCAGGAGGGGGGGGGGGGGGGTCACGCATTTATTTTTGGGCCTGGTTGTTTATTGAGATTTTGCATGAAGGTCAGATTAGTGATAGGGAAAATGTGACAAAAATACAATGCTCTCGGAAATTATTTGATAGTCCCTTTTTACAGGGCAATGGTAAAATTTTTGACCTGCAGAATTGAGTGGAGACACCCGACACGGAAAAAGAAAAAAAATATACTCAAAATACAGAAATTCACAAAATGACAAGTTTTGGATAATTATGACTTGTTACACGTTTTAATAAAACGTAAATTTCTTTCTAATTCAAATATCAAAAGTTTTCATATTTTAGAATATAATAACGTTCACATAAGGACATTAAAATATGATAAATTTAAATTTTATTGGGCTGCTGTTGCTGAAAAAGTCTAATATACTATTTCTGACAAAGGTACCAATCTTTGCGCTCGAATTCTGAACGAAAAATCGGCTTTTTCTCCGGCCACAGTTGTCTTTGAAAAGTAAGACTAATACCAATCAACAGCGAAAAGGCTGTCTAGTTTACTATGAAATTACCCAAATAAGTGAACGGTCCCTTTAAAGCTTCCAAGAAAGAAGTTAGTGAAATGAGCTTTGGTGCTTCTGGCTTCTATATTACAGAAGATGATGTCAGGAGCCTACTAGCAAGGAAGAAATAAGAAAGCTTTCATTTGTTCCTGACTTTTTCTATATGATCACCCATGTTTGTGCAGCAGAAAACTTTAAATTTTCATCTATGACAATTCACATGGCCTATCAATTCGAAGATACTGACTCAATTAAAAATTTCTTTGATGTCACAGTGACTACTGCACTAGACATTTACTCTCCTGGCTAGTGTTCTATATGAATAAATCAACGTATCTCAATGGATACTAAACAAATTGCAAGCTCACACAGACCAAGTTATAACATGATTCAAATACTTTATTTGATGCAAGTAAGTTAAATGCGGTCGTGTATACTCTGTGTACATATTGAAACCAGTTCTCTTTGGGCGGAATTTGTAAACAAGAACAGATGCATCAGTGTTTGTTTAGTATCCAAGGAAGTTTAAAGCATTAAATTTTGATAATTTTGATAATTCACATAATAGTTTCCTATAACCAGAACAAGAACCATCTTGTGTTTACATCTACTCCATGTACCCACCATCCAGCCTCGCCGAACTCCTCATCTCCAGACTGATCACTCTTCCCAGGCTCTCTCCTCTCTTCAACTGAACAAAGATATTGTTACTATAATTAATAATAAAAATTGCAGGTGAACATTATGCTCCTGCCGTGGAGAGAATTTAATGCCAACAAATTTGTTTCACTAATTGTATTAAAAAGGACTGGGGCCAAATACAAATTCTTTTCTATTTGACTAAACTCCCCAGATAATGGAATCCATTTTCCCTGCCCGGGACAGAGTGTCACTGATTCTTTCACTTTTGCAATTTTTGAACTTTGATCTAAATGACATTAATTCCTCCCTTTCGTTTCTGACTACTTTTTTCCCCTTCATCCTCCCTGTCACTCCAACTACTTTCATCAGCCTCCTTCTAATTCCTAACTGTATTTGCTACTTCATGTCTACTTCTTAAACTAGTTCTACATTTGATACTTCCTGTCTGCAGTTTTTCAAGACACTCCTTTTTCTTAAAGGTGCAACAGTTTCCGGTCTCTGAGCCCAAGTTTCTTTAATTTCAGACTTCAGAGTTTTGAGGGTTGGGGCAATAGATCTTGCCCCTCTTCTGGACTTTGGCGCCAGAATTTTGAATTCTGAGCTGTCAAATCTATCCATCAGAATTGAAACTCTTCTCTTCTCCCAGTAGAAGGGCTGACCTCCGATGGCCAAGTTCACCTTCCATTGCAGGGGTGTTTATTTCCTCTTTGTTCCTTGAGCTGGAACTTGCTACAGATTGTCTCTTTGGAGGGGTATATATTTCTTCAACCTCCTCGTTTCTTTTATTTTATTTTCAAACTGTGGTATTGACGGTTTTATATTCTCCCTTTGGATTTTGAAATCTCGCTACAGCCAATACCACAGTTTGAAAATAAAAGTTTAAATTTTATATTTTCATTTTGGATTTTCAAATCTCACTACCGCCAATACTACAGTTCAAAAATAAAAGTTGAAAGTTTTTATTTGGATTTTTGATTTTCAAATCTCACTACCCTCAATACCACAGTTTAAAAATATAAGTTGAAATTTTATATTCAAATCTAACTACCGCCAATACCACAGATTGAAAATAAAGACAGAGACAGAAACTAAATTCAACCATAGATTGTTGTTTATGTTTAACCCTACAAAGGCTGGGGGGTCTCAATCTATGTATGGACTGGGGGGGCGTCCCACGCCCCCCCCCCCTTAGAAAAAGGCCTTAGCGAATAGGTATAGGGTTTAAATGCATGTTCATAGATAATAGAGATAATTGGTAGGAAATTGGTAGGAAATTGGTAGGAAATTGGTAGGAAATTGGTAGAAAATTGGTAGGAAATTGGTAGGAAATTGGTAGAAAATTGGTAGGAAATTGGTAGTAGTACTAGTAGTAGTACTAGTAGTAGTGCTAGTAGTAGTACTAGTAGTAGTGCTAGTAGTAGTACTAGAAGCTAAGAGGTCACAAAGTTGTACCAGTAAAATCAAAACTAGGAGCTAAGAGGTCACAAAGTCGTACCAGTAAAATCAAAACTTGAGGGCTACTAGGTCACAAAGTTGTACCAGTAAAATCAAAACTAGGAGCTAAGAGTTCATAAAGTCGTACCAGTTAAATCAAATCTAAAGATGCTAAGAGGTCACAAAGTCGTACCAGTAAAATCAAAACAATGAGTTACGAGGTCAAAAAAATCGTACCAGTAAAATCAAATCTGGAGGAGCTACGAGGTCATAAATTCGTACCAGTAAAATAAAACTTGAGGAGCTACAAGGTCACAAAGTCGTACCAGTAAAATGAAAACTTGAGGAGCTACGAGGTCACAAAGTCGTACCAGCAAAATAAAAACTAGGAGCTACGAGGTCATAAAGTCGTG